CACACACTCACACACACACACACACACACACACACCACTGACACACACATATATACTGTATATATTCAGCTGTTTACCATACAATATATATTTTTCTTCCAAAAAATAAACAATAAAATAGTAATCAAATTAAAATAATAATAACTAAATATATAAACAAAACCACTTTAAATGTAAATATATATAATTTTATAAAATTAGATTAAAAAAATAAATGAATACTTTTATTAATCAAGGACACATTAAATTGTTCAAAAGTGGTAATGTTACAAAAGATTTCTATTTCAAATAAATGCTGTTCTTCTGAACTTTCTATTCATCTGTGAATCCTGAAAGATAAAATGTATCACAGTTTCCACAAAAATATTGTGCAGCACAACTGTTTTCAACATTGATAATAATCAGAAATGTTTCTTGAGCAGCAAATCAGCATATTAGAATGATTTCTGAAGATCATGTGACACTGAAGACTGGAGTAATGATGCTGAAAATACAGCTGCGCATCACAGAAATAAATTACAGTTTAACAGATATTCACATAGAAAACAGCTGTTTGACATTGCAATAATATTTCACAATTTTCACAATATTTTTGATCAAATAAATGCAGCCTTGGTGAGCAGAAGAGACTTCTTTTAAAAACATTACAAATCTTGCCGACCCCAACGTTTGAATGCTAGTGTATATATATATATATATTTTTTTATATAGTATATATATGTTTCTTTTGTCTCTTGTAGTTGTTGGAGTGGATCCGTCGCACCACGCCGTGGCTGGAGAAACGAACCCCTGAGAACACAGTGGAGGCCATGAGACATAAGCTGGAGGATTTCAGAGACTATCGCCGCATTCACAAACCACCCAAAGTCCAGGAGAAATGTCAGCTGGAGATCAGCTTCAACACACTGCAGACCAAACTCCACATCAGCCACAGACCCGCGTTCATGCCCTCCGAGGGGAAGATGGTGTCTGTAAGACACACACACACATACACACACACACACACACACACACACACACACACACACATATACAGTGGGTACGGAAAGTATTCAGACCCCCTTAAATTTTTCACTCTTTGTTATATTGCAGCCATTTGCTAAAATCATTTAAGTTAATTTTTTTTCCTCATTAATGTACACACAGCACCCCATATTGACAGAAAAACACAGAATTGTTGACATCTTTGCAGATTTATTAAAAAAGAAAAACAGAAATATCACATGGTCCTAAGTATTCACACCCTTGGCTGTGACACTCATATATTTAACTCAGGCGCTGTCCATTTCTTCTGATCATCCTTCAGATGGTTCTACACCTTCATTTGAGTCAAGCTGTGTTTGATTATACTGATTGGACTTGATTAGGAAAGCCACACACCTGTCTATATAAGACCTTACAGCTCACAGTGCATGTCAGAGCAAATGAGAATCATGAGGTCAAAGGAACTGCCTGAAGAGCTCAGAGACAGAATTGTGGCAAGACACAGATCTGGCCAAGGTTACAAAAAAATTTCTGCTGCACTTAAGGTTCCTAAGAGCACAGTGGCCTCCATAATACTTAAATGGAAGACGTTTGGGACGACCAGAACCCTTCCTAGAGCTGGCCATCCGGCCAAACTGAGCTATCGGGGGAGAAGAGCCTTGGTGAGAGAGGTAAAGAAGAACCCAAAGATCACTGTGGCTGAGCTCCAGAGATGCAGTCGGGAGATGGGAGAAAGTTGTAGAAAGTCAACCATCACTGCAGCCCTCCACCAGTCGGGGCTTTATGGCAGAGTGGCCCGACGGAAGCCTCTCCTCAGTGCAAGACACATGAAAACCCGCATGGAGTTTGCTAAAAAACACCTGAAGGACTCCAAGATGGTGAGAAATAAGATTCTCTGGTCTGATGAGACCAAGATAGAACTTTTTGGCCTTAATTCTAAGCGGTATGTGTGGAGAAAACCAGGCACTGCTCATCACCTGTCCAATACAGTCCCAACAGTGAAGCATGGTGGTGGCAGCATCATGCTGTGGGGGTGTTTTTCAGCTGCAGGGACAGGACGACTGGTTGCAATCGAGGGAAAGATGAATGCAGCCAAGTACAGGGATATCCTGGACGAAAACCTTCTCCAGAGTGCTCAAGACCTCAGACTGGGCCGAAGGTTTACCTTCCAACAAGACAATGACCCTAAGCACACAGCTAAAATAACGAAGGAATGGCTTCACAACAACTCTGTGACTGTTCTTGAATGGCCCAGCCAGAGCCCTGACTTAAACCCAATTGAGCATCTCTGGAGAGACCTAAAAATGGCTGTCCACCAACGTTTACCATCCAACCTGACAGAACTGGAGAGGATCTGCAAGGAGGAATGGCAGAGGATCCCCAAATCCAGGTGTGAAAAACTTGTTGCATCTTTCCCAAAAAGACTCATGGCTGTATTAGATCAAAAGGATGCTTCTACTAAATACTGAGCAAAGGGTCTGAATACTTAGGACCATATGATATTTCAGTTTTTCTTTTTTAATAAATCTGCAAAAATGTCAAAAATTCTGTGTTTTTCTGTCAATATGGGATGCTGTGTGTACATTAATGAGAAGGGTTATGAGGAGTGGCTGCTCACTGAGATCAGGCGTCTGGAGCGTGTAGAGCATCTGGCTGAGAAGTTCCAGCAGAAAGCAGCAACACACGAGAGCTGGGCGCAGGGTGAGATACTGCAGGACACACACCGGCAACAAACACCTGACATAAACGCTTTTAAAGGAATAGTTCACCCAAAAATAAACATTCTGGACCACTCAAGAAAGTGTTTGTGCAATCATTTCACAACTTGTGCAAGTTCTTCATGCACCACGTTTAAAAATTTGAATATGCACAAGCATGAATCTGATGTAGGAGATAATGAAAATAATAATAATAATAATTATAATAATAATGAAATAAATATATATATTCATGTGAGGTTTGCTTTATTTATTTATTTATTAAATCATTATTATTTATGTATTTTTTGCATGAGGTTAATATAAAATAATAACATATCAATATAAATATAAATATAAATATACATTCTTCAAATATTTAGTTATTTTATTCCAAAAAATAAATAAATAACTAAATTAAAATACTAAATACTAAATACATAAATCTTTATAAAGTCTTTATAAATAGCAAAATAGCAATAGCATCATCACACCTTGTGTAACTTCTTCATGCACCAAGTTTGAAAGCTTCAATTTTAATATGCACGCGTAAGAGATGATGACATAATAATAATAAAATATAATAATAATAGTAATAATATTAATAATAATAAATGTTGTATGTGATGTTTATGATGCTTTTTTTATATATATATATTTTATTTTTACTATTTAATATACAATGTATTCTTGGCTTCCAAAAAATGAACAAAAAAGTAACTAAATTAAAATTACGCACAAGCAAGAATCAGATGCAAGAGATGATGACATAATAATCCTATATGATAATAAAGAAATAAAGATCTGATGTTTATGATGCTTATTTAATTTTATTTATTTATTTGCAAACATGCATGAAGTAAATGATGGCAGAATTTTAATTTGCCAGAACTCTTCCTTAAATTTGTCAGCAGAACAACTGAGCAGCTTTTTGACCCAATGCAAACGTTTTTAAGAGCCCTGAGCTGTGTGTATGTGTGTGTGCGTGCGTGCGTGTGTGTATCTGTGTGTGTGTGTGTGTGTGTGTGTGTGCGTGCGTGCGTGCGTGTGTGTATCTGTGTGTGTGCGTGTGCGTGCGTGTGTGTATCTGTGTGTGTGTGTGTGTGTGTGTGTGTGCGTGCGTGCGTGCGTGTGTGTATCTGTGTGTGTGCGTGTTGTGTGTATCTGTGTGTGTGTATATGTGTGTGTGTGTGTGTGCACTGCAGGAAAGGATCAGCTGTTGACTCTGAAGGATTACGAGAGCGCGTCCCTGACGGAGTTGAGAGTGCTGCTGCGGAAGCACGAGGCGTTTGAGAGCGACCTGGCAGCACATCAGGACAGAGTGGAGCAGCTCGCCGCCATAGCACAGGAACTCAAGTATGACCACTTCCTGTCTCCTCCTCATGGCGTTACACTGCAGGTTTTGTACATGTTGGGGTCATGTAAGCGACACCTGATTTTTACTGTCAGCTATGTTTATAACATGCTTTAAGGCAAGACACTACAGGCAAAAACATTGTTTTTTCATTCACTGGTCCATTTTGCCTCCATAACATGTTATTTCAGACTAGTGAAAAGAAAACATCCAAAAGACACTTTTAAGTGTTTATTTTATTGCAGTTTATCTATTTGAATGCTATTGAATTGAATAGCATTCAAGTTATAATACATATCTTTAAAAGTTTTTTCTCCACTTCAGCAGCACTTACATACACCAAAACTTAGAGTTTTATTCCTATCTATATTATGAAAGTTTTTACTGAGGGGTTTGTTCATATATCAATCGCCTGGTTTTATACAGCATTTTATTCCTAAAAACATAGCGAAAATTATTCGTTTTCTGTCTGTTGAGAGTATTTTCTGATTTATGAAATAATAAAAAGAGAAATCCAAAATCCCCTCAGTAAAATCCTTTAGCTCTAATATGGCAACAAAATCAAACAAGAAATTAGAAATTTGGCTTTATCCAGTGTTCTGGAAATTTATGCAAATGAGTGCATATTTAATTAGATAACACATAATTTGCATATTTAAACATAGCATTTTAGAAAACTTGTAATACGTGTTTTTGTACATAGTGTTTACCCTATTCACCTGTGGTGTCTTGCCTTAAGGTTAATATTGACCCCACTTAACTCTATAAAGAAACCACCTGAACATGTGTTTTGCAGTTATCTCGAGATGCCGTGTGTGTTTAAAACAGCAGCGAGTGTTTTAAATGTGTTCCCGGCTGCAGAGGTACGTGAATGTGGCAGCAGTGTTGGGTTTCTATTGTTCTAAATGCAGTCGGACCAGCTGTCAGATTCCCTCTGTGACAATGAGTCAGTGTTGTACCGAGAAACACACATCTCAGTATATATTCAGCGCTCTATTTGTAGAAGCTGCGTTCAGTTGTTCATGCCGGTGCGTCAAAGTGACAGAGGCATCTGAACTCCTCTGATCTGCTCTGAAACGCTGTCAACACCTCCATCAGAACAGGTGCCGCTGCCATCAGGAACATCATGAGTGTCTATAGGGATCTTGTTAAATGTGTCCTAAGGGCACACTCCTAAAAGGATGCTCAAATTGACCGACCGTACTCAGATTGTTTGTGGGTGCTTTTGTTGTACATTTGATTCAGTCAGCTTTGCATTTCATTCTGCCAAAAGTACTGCAAAAAATATTTTCTTCCTCAGTATTTTTGTCGTTTTCCAGTACAAACATCTAAGCATTCACAAATCAAAATGCATTTACTGGACAAGCAATATGACGTTTTCTGAAAAAAAGAAAGAAATTAAAATTATGCTTAAAGAAAAAAAAAGGGTCAGAAAAATAAGTCTTCCCTTTGAATTAAGTTGCTTTTTCTGACCCCATTGGCAGATATTGGTTGTTGTATTAAGCATAACCCCATTATAAATTTCTCAGAAAACAATACTTAAGTTTTGCTTCTCAAGAAAATGTATCTTGATTTCAAAATGTTTCGATTTTTGCACTGGAAAGCATGACAAAAATACTAAGTAAGAAAATAATTTTTTGCAGTTTATGCTGCAAAATTGCTTCTTACATTTTTTTGCCTTGCCTCTTTATTTGACCTTTTGCCTTGTTTTCTAATTAAAATATCTTAAAATTAGCAGGTTGCGGGTCCCTTCTCAAAACAATCATATTTGAATTTCAAGATGTGGTTTTTAGAATCTTCCTGGTGATTTTTTTAAACGCAACTTTAGTGTAGGATCTTGATTCTTATGGAATATCAGTGCATTTATTATGATCTTAGAATCCTGTTGGATATCGTGATTTTAAACAGAACTCTACTGTGTTCTATTGGAATAATGTCTTGCTATTGGGCAGTTAAATTACGGAGGGTGCTTTGGGAGTTTTAAACCCTAAAATATTATCTTTACATTCCTACGTCCTATAAGAGTATTAAACCCTAATGCTGTCTAATATAAATGTAAATGTAAAATATAATGCATTTGTAAGAGCTTATCTGTTTGTATTAGCCGTCATGAGTCTGAGCTGATGCTTCTCTCTACTGGAAACATGATGCACTGCAGTGATGCACTTTAAATATATTAAATATAAATGTGTGCATTTGTGTGTGTGTGTGTGTGTGTGTGGGCAGTGAACTGGACTATCACGCCGCTGCTGTCATTAATGAACGCTGTCAGTCGATCTGTGATCATTGGGATCAGCTGGGAACTCTGACCCAGAAACGCAGAGAAGCTCTGGAGGTGACAAACACACACATCACATACTTTACCAAACCTGCTGTTATTAGTGAGTTTTACTATGATTATGCAGAGCTTATACTACCCCATATTGGTATGTAAAATTGCATTACATATGTAATTAAATATGCTTATATGCAAATCAGCATATTAGAATGATTTCTGAAGATCATGTGACACTGAAGACTGGAGTAATGATGCTGAAAATTCAGCTTTGATCACAGAAATAAATTACAGTTTAACAGATATTCACATAGAAAACAGCTGTTTTAAATTGTAATAATATTTCACAATTTTACTGTTTTTACTGTTTTTTATCAAATAAATGCAGCCTTGTTGAGCAGAAGAGACTTCTTTAAAAAACATTAAAAAGGCTTTTTTCAAAACTTTTTACCAGTAGTGTGTGTGTGTGTGTGTGTTTATATATATATATATAAATGACCTAATTAATATTAATAGTATATGATTAAAATTATATTATATAGTTAAAATGATAAATTATAATTATTAATAATATTACTGTTGTGAAGCATGTATAATCTGATGTCCACTTTCTGCTTCAGAAATAAAGTTATATTGAAATATGTGTGTGTGTGTTTAAAAGAGGACGGAGAAACTCCTGGAGACGATCGATCAGCTGTTTCTGGAGTTTGCTAAGAGATCGGCTCCGTTCAATAACTGGATGGAAGGAGCCATGGAGGATCTGCAGGACATGTTCATGGTTCACTCCGTAGACGAGGTTCAGGTGAGGAACTTACGCTCTTCAACACATGATGAAAGATTTATGAGTTTCTACTAAACACAAAAACCGACTAAACTTTTATTGCTTTTACAAACTTCTGACTGAATTGAATTCCTGATGAAATCCTGGTCCTCATTGATCTTCTTGTTTCATGCATGAATATGTCACATCATGTAAACTGTTTGATGTTGACTTCATGACTCTGTGGTTCTCTGTGTGTGTGTGTGTGTGTGTGTGTAGAGTCTGATCTCGGCTCATGATCAGTTTAAGGCGACGCTGGCTGAGGCTGACAGCGAGCGTCAGGCCATTCTCAGCATCTATAACGAAGTGCAGAAGATCGCTCAGAGCTACGGGATCTCCAGCAAACTCACCAACATCTACTGCGACATCACACCCGCCATCATCAACCAGAAGTGGGAGAAGGTGTGTGTGTGTGTGTGTGTGTGTGTGAGTGTGTGAGTGAGTGAGTGTATGTGAGTGTGTGTGTGTGTCTCTCTCTCTCTCTGTATATATATATATAATTTTTTTTAAATATATACAAGACATTGTAAACATTAAGATTATATTTTCTTGCTTATATTGTGTAGGTGAACCATCTGAAACAGTACGAGCACAACATCATAAACTACAAACCCAACATCGACCGGCTGGAGGGAGATCATCAGCTCATCCAGGAGTCGCTCATCTTCGACAACAAGCACACCAACTACACTATGGAGGTACACACACACACACTCACACACACACACACACTGAATTGAATTCCTGATGAAATCCTGGTCCTCATTGATCTTCTTGTTTCATGCATGAATATGTCACATCATGTAAACTGTTTGATGTTGACTTCATGACTCTGTGGTTCTCTGTGTGTGTGTGTGTGTGTGTGTGTAGAGTCTGATCTCGGCTCATGATCAGTTTAAGGCGACGCTGGCTGAGGCTGACAGCGAGCGTCAGGCCATTCTCAGCATCTATAACGAAGTGCAGAAGATCGCTCAGAGCTACGGGATCTCCAGCAAACTCACCAACATCTACTGCGACATCACACCCGCCATCATCAACCAGAAGTGGGAGAAGGTGTGTGTGTGTGTGTGTGTGTGTGAGTGTGTGAGTGAGTGAGTGTATGTGAGTGTGTGTGTGTGTCTCTCTCTCTCTCTGTATATATATATATAATTTTTTTTAAATATATACAAGACATTGTAAACATTAAGATTATATTTTCTTGCTTATATTGTGTAGGTGAAGAAGTCGGTTCCTCAGAGAGACGGTGGCCTGCATGAGGAATTGTCCCGACAGCATGCGAACGAGAGACTCAGACGACAGTTTGCAGCACAAGCCAATGCCATCGGACCCTGGATACAGACACGCATGGAGGTCATACACACACACACACACACACACACACGTAGACTGATCTATCAAACACCAGATAACATGATTAAAATGTGAGTAACAACAGGATTTGGCAGCTCAATCAAAGCAGGTTTTTTGTTTTTAACAGTTGCACTGTAATGCATGATAATATAGCTGTGTGAGATGTGAATTAGTGGTTTTTGTGCAGGAGATCGCTCGCTGCTCGGTGGATTTGGCCGGCACACTGGAGGATCAGATGAACCATCTGAAACAGTACGAGCACAACATCATAAACTACAAACCCAACATCGACCGGCTGGAGGGAGATCATCAGCTCATCCAGGAGTCGCTCATCTTCGACAACAAGCACACCAACTACACTATGGAGGTACACACACACACACTCACACA